GTGAGCTGCCTGCAGCCAGATATAATATCTATGCAACAAATATATGTTAGCATAAAACCTCATTGATCTTGGAATGAAGCAATCTGGCAAAAACAAATAACATTATTAATATTACAACATACAATTGATGCAAAGCTTCAATCCAAAGACATAAATCAGTTATTGCTGAATGCTTAACACATATACAAACGTAAACAAACACGGACAGCAATGATTAAAGAAGGATATCATTGTAACACTGGATATACATTTTACTAGCATGATTCATTAGTTTCACAGTAAAGTAAAAAGAAATTACTAGTAATACTCAAGCAAATTTAATAAATAAAACACACAATTTACAATCTTACACAGTGCTCATGAGATTCTGCAGGTCTCTGAAGCACATATGATATTAATAACAATTTTGAACGATTTATTGTGAAAACAATACTGTCATTGAACAGTAAACTATGCATGAACTTTGGATTAACTCTGAACAATTTCAATCATGTTGAACAGTCTACAAGACAACAAACAATGACTTAATAATATAACAATGAATGAACTACAGAACTAATGACACAACAGTGAACGAAAACTTAATAAATATCTAACAAAGCACAAAGTTAACACACAGTGGACCAAAATATACAATACAAACGACACATTTATACTTTACAAATGATATTATTATATGCAATACACGAGCAAATATAATACAGACACAACATACAATGCAGATACAATACTAATAAAAATGTTGGAACAATCTGCAAATCAAACATCTTATAGGTCTGGCCAACTTATAAATGTTTGAAGGGGAGTGGTAGCAGCACTATAACTACCCCTAAAAATAAAAATAAAATAACTACAAATCAAATAAACAAATAGTCACAAAACAAACATATTATTAAACTAATATATGTTTGAAGGGGAGTGTTAACATATATGGAATGACACATATAAGCAACGGACGTACCTGAGACATAGCTACATATTATATATACCTACTGAATCAACGGACAATGACGCTAAGGAGAGCAAGCCGAGTCCACTATCCCCCCTCTTTGTGTGATCCCTCAAAGCCTCTCACATAACTCCTCTCAACAGTCTGGCTATCCATTTGAGAAGAGAGGGATGGAGAAGCTGCGTCCTGTTCTAGCTGACTTATAAGAACTACGGATGAACCGTATTCCCTGTACCTGTGCTCCGTCCGATGTGTATACGTCGTAACGTGATAATTTCAGTCCAACCATGAGCCTAACGAGTCAGGCCGACTCTACTTGCATCCGGAGCCCGGACCTGTAATGAGGCTATCCTACCTTCTATTGTTTCAGATTCCACCTCATCAATCACTCTTCCTGATTCACCGGATGCTGGATTCACCTGCAACTCAATACCACTTCTTGGTACACTTTTATTATTGTAATTCTGTCAATTCTTAATCAAAGTGACTGCCTTTATGGAAGCAAGATTGAAACATGAAGGATACAAGCGATTGTTATATAATTTTTCTTGAATTACTATATGGTATCCAAAATCTAACTTTGCTCTTGGAAAAAAATCAATGTTCCAACAATGTTTCAGGTATAAGAATATCTCCTGAAGAGGTTTAGTCAACGATCTATTTTGATACAATGTATCAAAGCCTGGCTGTATGGTGACTCCAAGTAGCATGTCTCAATTCTCATCTTGCTTCTGTTGTGATCCGATGTTCCTATATCATGATATATTTACAAACCAGCCTTTCACCTGTGGAGGCTCTTGACTCTAAGAAGCATTCTTGTACTTTGAGCCAACGAATTGTTGAGCATGAATGTGTTACTGAGGACTGGAAGTATTAGGCTCAGGAGGTCAAATCACTTGCATATCAAATACCTTCTGTGCAACACTAGCAATATAATACAATATGATACAATACAATACAAATCCATATCTAACTTACAGAGAATATTTTAATCGGCTGGCTGTTCCAACAACCGATCATAACCGTCCAGTCTAGCCCTAGGTCTAAACCTTCCGAATCCCAGAAAGGTCGAACGAACGAAACCGAAACGAATGTGCAACCAATCTCAACCAAAATGCGGGAGTGCGAGATGAGGATGGGGAAGGGATGAGATGGCCTTGGGTATCAAGGTCTGGTGGGTACAACGTCCACCTCAACGTAACTATCTTTCTCCTTGTAAGCCCTATCTCGATCGCTCCAATCCTTTCGCGAGGTCGTAGAACCAGGTCGACTCGATCTCGGAGTGTTCGACTTCGACTTTGACTTCGACCGAGTTTGTACCTTCACGTCCTCCCACCTCTCCAACGCGGTACTCCCACTCTTCCCTTTCTCACTACTCGTATCATCGAAGTCCCTCGCTTTCTCTGCTTTACCGTTCCCCACATCAATACCCCTGCCCTTGCCTTTTCCATTACTGCTACCCTTGACGTTCTCAGCATCTCGTCTCGCCTCCCGATGCATCCGTCTCACCTCCCTATATCTCACCAGCCACGTAAACAGCGCAGTCGTGCCGACCGAGATGAGGATCCACGAGATGAGGATACCCGCGTTCTTTGGGAGGTGGGAGTAGGTGTTGAAGAGTAGGGTTCGGATGGCTTGTTGCCTATGCATTTGAATTAAATTAAATTTGGTTTGATTAGGTTGAGTCGGGGATGATAGGAGTTTGAAGGGCTGAATTAAGGAAACTAAATAAAGTAAGGAAAGGATGCTCACATATTCCAAAATTGAAACCCAGCTCCATATGCATAGAGCTGTGGTTGAAGGTCAGGTGGGAGTGCGGCGGTTGAGATGTTCACGATAATCTAGCAGTAGCATCGATCAGCCCAAAATCCGAATCCAGATCGATATATACATAATTTTAAAGATGAAACCGAAATAAAAAATATGGAGATGAAATACAATATTAATAAAACCGCCGAAAACGGGCGCGGGAAGGATCAAATCACTCACGAGAAGTACCAAGAAAATCGGCACGAACTTCGGCTTGAGAACAGTGATCATAGCTTCGAGGGCAAGGCCGAGGGAAGCCATGCCAAGGTAGAGATAGCCGAAGAACGCAAGGAAGCCGGCACCATAACTGAAATGTGTGCCGAACGGCAGACGGAAGGCGAGGTTAACTAGGGCGTAGCTGAGACTTAGTGGGATGTAGAGAATGAGAGGGACTATGATCCGGAGCGTGAGGTAAGAAGGGAAGGTGAGCCATTGTTCGACTTTCGCTCGGGCGGCGGAGTGGGCCATTACCTAGATGTCATTTGGTATTTAAGGTCAAATTGTTTTAATGAGCTGAGACATGAAGGGTAGGGGTGTACCATTATGAACCTGCGAGGACGGAAATTAGCAAATAAGAAACGGCAGCCGCAACATTTTTTTCTCAGTGCCGAGACTCACGCGAAGATGCAGAGATATATTTGTCCAACGAGGAGCACTGCCTGAGCAACGGGCGTCGTATATGGTCGAAGATTGACCACAGTGAAACTCACGGCAGGACTAATCGTCTGCGGAGCTTGTGCGATGAAACTTAACGCCGTCTGGTTGACAGTCCCATTCTGCGAGACAATGGCTGCAAAGAATCGCTGCGCCGAGTTGGTGGCATAGTTTTGCGTGAAGTTTGAAAGGAAACTCGTTGCAATAGGGAGAAGGTACGTTCCCGTCGCAAGTTCATTGCGAGCCTGTGCACACGATAGCCTTTCAATGTACAATTTCTTCCTTTACGTGCGAGGAAATGATGTACCTGAGCGTAATAGACGGTTATGGCACTTGTAGGGTCGTAAGATACGTTTCCTACTGCCCGTGCCTGGGTCAAGTTGTCCGTCGCATTATTGTTCACTACAGAGATAATATAGGTATGAGATTACACCCTGGCGATGAACTACAACTACTGACCCACGATAGCAAGCCAAGTACGCTCGCTGACAACAGCGTCTATCACGTCTTGTTCGGTCGGAAAATGGGAGGCGTTGACCACACGCCACCACAGTGCTCCTGGTCCGCTGGTGGGTGCAGAGAGAGCGGCAGCCGAGAGGGAGTCGCCGATCCTAGCCTGATCACGATCGAGGACCCAAGTCTCGAGATTGCCCGTCAGATCCGCGGATGCAGATAGCGAGCCCCAGTATCTGTTCCGTAGCATGTGAACAACGGCAATGAGTAACAGTAGGTATAATCGATCTCTCCTCAACGATAGGCAGTAAAGGGGGGAAGGTAAGGAGTAGAAAATAATAAAGGGAACCACATATATGAAGAAGAAAAGGAAATAAAGAGGAAGAACTTGAAGAAGGGAGGGAAGACGTACATAGGCAAGCAGGCCCAGGTGAGTATGAGGACAAGAATAGTCGCGCGGGCAAGAAGTTTAAAATACGCAGTTCGGCACGGCGCAAGCTCTTCTGAGAAAACTATAAGAATGGCATGGCATCCAGTGTTTTTGATTTCGGCACGACAGGAGCAGCATGAGTATGTAACCCCGTTAGCATGCTTCCGTCTCTCTTTTTCTGTCTTGCTTAAAACCTACACTGATGTCCGAACCGTAGGCTTGGCTCTGCCCTCGTCACCTCCGTCCCCATCTTCTCCGCCGCTGACGCTGTCCGACTTGGAGGGCGCGACTGCTTTTTGACAGCGGCGGCTTCGCTGTCTACCCACGCGTCATGCCGCGCAGACTCAAACGCGCGACGCGGTTTGTTGCTCTCGGCATCTCCATCACCCACATCATGCGATCCGGAAGCAAAACCACACTGGTCGTCGACGGAGCGGCTGTTGCGCCGCCGTTCGCAAACGATGGACTGGCCGGACATGATGGTGGGAGCGGACGAAGAGCGGGACCTGAGCAGGGCGTGTAGCGGTTAACCCACACCCGTGGTCTTCGAATGCGTCCATGTGCATGTGTGCGCGACCTGCTCGTCTCGTCGTCCTCTCTCCCGCTTCCGTCGCTTAGCGTGCAACTCAATTCGCAGCGTTTCTCACGTAGGCGACGGTGCTCCCAATTTCATGTTCATGCTGCGAGGCATTAACAGGAGTTATTATTGAGTGAAAGATCCAGAGGAAAAGGATCATCAATTACTGGAGCAGAAAAGATCCACGACTGGATTTATTCAATTGATTCCTTGTTCCTGAATTACGACAACTCCTTACGACAGCATTGTGAATCATCATGATAATTGAGCGGAGTGCAGGTTGCTTCTACGTACAACAATGTAAAGAAAATTATGCGTGTAGAAAGAAAAAAAAATATTGATGCAAATAATTATGAGAATGCGTTTTATTGGGGCCTCCATTGAGTTTTTAATTCTTTACGAACGTCCGTGCCTCATCCCACGACATCCGTTCACGCTCCTTCCCAACTTTCTCTGCTCTACGTACTTCCTCCTCATCTATCCGTTTCCAGTCTTCATACGTCGTCACCCGTCCCTCTTTCCTAGCTGCTAAAACTTCTTCCGGAACACTCCCAAGATCCGCATTCGGATTCAACAGATTATGCACTTCGCCGTCCAGCATTTCTATCGATGGTGGGGGAACCGGTCCAGTTTGCAGTTCGGCACTACTATCATCTTCACCTGCTTGGGCTCGCAGGTCTGAGATAATCGTGTCGATGATCGAGTGTGCGTTCAGCATCGTACTAGCAAGTACGCCGTGTGCACCAGTCGCTGCCCATCCACTCGCGTATACATTTCGCAAGACTTTTCCAGCCGTATCAACAACACGTCCACCTGTGTTACGCATCGTGCCTAAAGCAGGCTCGTACCACTCGCCTGTTGGCTCCGCGCGGTATCCAAGCGAGGTCAAGACCAGGTCCGTGTCAAGCATGAAAGTCTCGCCGGTAGATACTGCTTTCCTATCCTTATCGAGCGTCGTATGTGCGAGTGCGAGACGAGCGGCGTGTGAAGAGCCTGATGGTGCCGTAGCGATCCCAGTAGGGGAGCGGAAGAAATCTATAGACCATGATCTCTCTGTCGTTCCGAATGCATTACTCGATCCCTTTTGCAGGATTTGAAGCAATCGAGATTGCTGGCGCGTTAACTGTGTACCTTCAGTGGGCTTCATTGCTTCGAGTGCTTCGGAGGATAATGGAGCCAGCGCGGTACCCGGTAAAGACATCATCTCGCGTAACTCTTTCGTCGTGAAGCTTGCTTCGAGCGGGCCGCGACGACCGATGATACTAACATGCTGAACTGCAGACTTGCTTAGGACATCAAGCACAGATACGGGCACGTCGTATTTCTCCAGCCGCTCGACGGGCGAGAGTAATATGCGAGCTACGTCGAGCGCGACGTTCCCATGGCCTATCACAGAGACATGTTTAGTCCTCTCGAGCGGCGGCTTGAATGTGCTAGCCGGATGTTGTGTATACCAATGTACAAGATCCAGTGCGGGGCGAACGATGTCGGAAGGTGGGAGCGCAGGGTGCAGGCGAGGAACGGTACATCCAGATGATAGAAGTAAATGTGTGTAATGAGGGAAGAGTGAGCTGAGTGGGACGTTCACGGCATGTGGGACTGGTGATGGCGTAGATGAAACGTTTACGTTCCCGAAGAACGCGAATCGCTCGTCACGAGCGGATTCGTCAAATTTATGCGTGCAGTTCTGAGAATCCGTTAGTAACGGCATACCAACAAAAAATAACGGCTCAAACAACATATTCACCTTAACCTCAGGATGGTCCGGTGCAACACCGTACCTCACAAGTCCATGTGGTGCCCACAGTCGATCATAAATATGAATACCAATACCCGGTCGACGAGGCTGCGTATTAGGAAAAAATTGGAGGAGACGAGAAGCTGCGTAGAAAGCGGATGGGCCACCGCCAACTATTGCGAGCTTTATTCTTGGAGGCATGCCAAGTTTCAAAGTCTATCTTATGAGTCGAATACCAAAGCTTTGTAAGGGTAAGGAAGAAACAAGTTTGAGTAGTTTGAAGTCTGATGCATCCAGGAAATTTAGTACCCGTAGATCGTTCTGCACCGTCTATAGATCCATTTGCCGCGTAACTGTGCCTCTTAAGCAATATTACGCCAGTTTAGTAAACGACATGAAAATGGTCTAAGTTAGAGTGAAATAAAAGCCGAGGTCGGACTTGTTCAAATCAAATGATGAGTCATGATCACGTGCATTATTTCTACAAGCCACAGTACGAACTCACGGCGAAAACTCGAATCTTTCTTCTTGCTTCCATCATGGCCACGAAACTCGGTTACTACCCTCTTTTACTTCATACTCCACGCATACGTGGTCCTAGGGTCTGGCGTCTTGCGAATGAATAATGAACTCTATTTACTTTGGTTGTCATCAAATGTGAATCTCTCGTCCGCTGGAGCTCGGGAGAAACTTTCTTTTGGGTTGTGAACCTCGTAACAAACGAAATCTCTGATAGAACGATTGATGAGCAAATTACGCCGAGCTTCTTTTCCTCTGGCCACTGAAGATGCCCCTTTCATATTTGCCACTTTTTATTCTTTTTAATCACCTTGCCCATGACGCGTCTGGTGGTGTACAAACTCCGATTGAATCTAGATCAGCCACAAATACGCGTCGTGGCCCAGGAGTGCTGCACTCCAAGTCTCAACTCCCTTGCTGAGAAATACGATAAGGCAAATGACGAAAAGGAAGCCTACGTAGTACTAGTCTCAACGTATCGAGAGCTTGTTTTAAGTCGCTCGTGAGAGGACATGTAGTTGGGACCCAGTTCTTCTCGTGGCTGGACATTCAGCGCATAGGGAAACTATGGACCACTGACTTCAGCATAACCACAGAGTCGACGCTTCTAAAGCTATCCCAAACGGAGAAATTATTCATCTGATTTTTAACGAAAAATGGGGTCGTTCTCTATCCTCAGGAGAATCCTCAATGTACTGCATATCTAGTTATTCAATCAAGTCCGGAACTGCATTTTACCTGCCCACTAGCGGTCGATTGCCAAGTAGCTGTGCTGCAGATGCCGATAGATATCTCTGATAGGAAATGCTCTCCTGTGGCCCGGCGTTCGAAAGAACTGGAACTCTTGACGTTTGTTTACACGCATGTAGGGATGCAATCCGCTTAGTCCATGCCCTCTTTCAATTCCCCTCGGCTAATGAGAACAACATACTTGCTTGTCATCATTTGTACTCCCGAAGTGCGCATTCGGGATTGTTCGTTCGTCTGGCCTCTCAAAGATATAAAAGGGGCCTATGCAAGCGCTTTGACGTCCCCGTCCTGTTCCTCAAGTTCGCCTCAAGCCTTCAAGGTTTAAGCAGGTACATACTTCTCTACCTTTTGTGTTCCTTTCAGGTAACGTCCCGCCTTATATACGCACTACTTCTTGCATTGACATCCTTTTCAACGATAGTTCTTTTTTTAGCACCATGTGTCTGATTCCTTTTGGTTCATATGCGAGTATCGTCTCGACCGACGCTGGTTCTGCTTCATCTTTTCCCTCTAGTAGTTCAACTTCATCGTCTGCCATTGGCCTGCTAAGCCGTTCAAGCTCCCTCACCAGTAGCAGCAGGAAATCGCAAGCTGGCCGTACGAGATCATCGCTCTCTCGTACATCTTCACTCTCTTCGAGCGCTCAGGACCGCGCTTCGGAGAGTGCGCGCTGGGCGCGCAAGAAAAAAGCAGCCACGGACAAGGCTGCGAAGATCAAGCCACAGTCGGGCGGCAACGTTTTCGTACGTGGCTACAACTACTTGGCGAACGCCATCGCGCCCATCTTTGGCAGGACTAATGTCCAAGAGGCGTCTGGGCATGACGACGACGACGCCATGGATGTTACTCCTCCGTCCTCTCCCCTTTCCATGGACTCGGAAAGCACCTCGGACAGTGTGGACGGACCTAGTCAGACTGAGGCTTCATCCAGCAACGAAGGGTCTGCTGACAGTACCAACGCGCAGGAGCAAGTCGACTATTTTTATGAGTTCATGTTCCCGCTCATGGAAGAATCTCTTCGGCAAAGAGACGCGTCGTCACCGCCGTGGAACAGCTCAAGTGAATTCAATCTCGAGCCTGATGTCGCACCCATGCTAGAAGAGACAGCGTTGCCGGAGCTGTCAACATCGGCACTTGACCTTATCTTCGAGCCTACCGTAGAATCTATGCTGGAGGAGATGACGGCGCAATCCGTTTCAGCGCCTGAATTTTCCCTTGAGCCATGGGTAGTGCCTATGGACGATGGAGCGGCTCTAGTCCCTTTATTCGAGTCCTCAGGTGAAATATGTGGACAGAACCTTGACGATGCTCTTTCGAATTCGATGGAGGGATCTGGAGCTCAGAGTCTTGACGCAGTACACTGTAAGCATTAATTATGAGGTTGTCTCGTGCGCATGAAGGCTAACAAATCTGTTCTATAAGCTCTCAATTCGCATTCTTCTCCGGCTGATCAGCCAGTCCTAACTGATTCGGTCAGCGAGACTCAAGGAACTAACATCCCGAATATGCTTCCCGGAATGGAAATGTATGCGCTTCCAACGTCTGACAGCGGTTCTTCTGCATCCTTCCTCCCATGGGGACCTGTCAATTTCTTTCCTCCGACGCCGGCCAACTCGCCCGAGGACGATGCACGGTCGGAAGCATCAGAGGTTCCGACAGAGCAGTTTGATGCCAACTCAGAGGTGGATGAGGACTATGAGGACTACGAGCTGGAATACGTCAACGAGGATGTTCCGCCTCCGACCGCTCCGTCTGCTCCGAAGCCTCGAAAGCAGCGTCCAGCCACCATGACGGACGTCCGGAGACAAAAAGTCACCGAGGAGCATGCGGCTCTTCTCGATAGAGCTGCGAGTCATGCAGCTGAGGAGGAATTAGAGCGTCAACTCGAGGAAGGCTTTTTCGAGTTGGAAGTGGAACAATACGGAGAGAAGGAGGCGAAAAGACGCCAGTATGAGCGCAGAATAGAAGACCGCGTGCGAATCGCGCAAGAGAAGCGCCTGGAATGGTATGAGGACAAGGCCGACAAGGCCGAACGAGCCCAGTTGCTGGCTGAAGGTGAACGCGCTGTCGAGCACGAGGAGGTACTTCGTGAAGAGCAAAGCACCTCCAACGACTTTTACTTACGGAGTGCAAGCCGCTGCTTTACTTCCGTCATTCGACGTAGGAAGTACTCACACAGCGCAAATGTGCGCTTCCAGCCTTTCCCCATGTCGGCCAAGTCGGCCAGGTACAAGACAATGTACCGAGGTACCTCAAGAAATGACCAGTACCTCTCTCCTGCGATGTGCAAGATTATTGACATCAACCTGCTTTTTGGTTATGATGTGTTGTGGTCACTCCTCTCTGACCCATTGCTCCAGATCGAGGTTACCTTCGCTTCTGTGCCATGGCCTCTCTTTCTCATTCCAGAGGGGCTGTTCGACATAACAACAGCAAAGGTGATGGAGTTCTTCTCGCAGGTCTGCCCAGATGTCGACCAGGTGGTTCTGGCAGAAGCTCAGCTTGAGCGTTGGAGACCAGACCACATCGAGGACCGGGTGATTTCGCGGGTGGTCAATGAACACGACCGCGATCTTATACGCCAGGGTGCCAAGCGTGTGCATGATGCCTTTGTGTTGCTCTTGAAAGAAGCTCGCTGAGAAAGGAATGATACTATCTGGGAGGCGTGAGTTGGTGATGAATGATCGAGCCTCTCGGTCCTTTTGTTTGGATGATAGCCGCTATCGTGGCTCTTTTAACGATCTTTAGCTTTCCCCTTTTTATTACTGTTAGTGTATGCATCTCTTTTATATCTTTTAACATATGCCCTATGCCACCCGTTCATTTATGCCTATCCATATTACCTATGCATTCCTTCCCTTGTTTCACTGTTGTCCTTGCTGTCTTCTTGGATGTATACCACTGGACAGTCTGTATCACTAGATATCTTACCTGGAAAACACTGCTAATAACAAAACTATAAGCGATTGACACATTTATGACTGTCCTTAGTTCTTTCAAAGCAAGATGTTCATCGTAACTTCATGTGTGATTATTATGGAGGCTCGTACTTAAAATATGAGATTTAGGAAGGAACGGACAATGTAAGGGATGGCTTTCATGTAAGAGGAAGCGATTGAGTGTGGCTCGTAATGCAGGATTGAGACTTGACTCTCATCGCATCAGACTAAGTCTGTTCAAGATCATGCACTCCTAGCAGTGCGGATTGCGCCGTTCTGCCAACTAGTGTCGAACTTGGAGCATTGGCACTACTTCCTCCGCCTTTTCCGAGTGGAGTGCGACTAGGAAAAGAAAGTAATTTTCGAAATATCGTAGCTGCCTCCGGAATTCGTAACACCAGCTCGTCCGACTTGGATTAAATCCGTCGCGACGTAGCAGAGGGTTACAGAGACCAAGGACTTCATCTATACAGGGACAGAACTCTATGATTCAAAAACCTGCCACATAGAATCCATCTAGATTGAGTAGGGCCCCAAGAAACGCGTTTAGAGAGGGATTGGAGAAAGTGGAACGCTCAGGCGGCAGGCTCGATATTGTGAGGCTCATACTAATCTTAAATTGATTCTTGTTTTCTTTTGTTACCGAAAGTGTACATCCTTTATCTCTTAGCCTTCCTATTTTAACGATCTTTCCTATTGTTTGTTCTCGGCTTTTCATAGGGACGAGGCATTTATGACTAACCTTGCGACCAGCTATGAATTCTATCGCAGAATGTCGCTCAAAGCTGTATGATTTTCGAGCGAAATATCGTGCTTGGCGTTGTCAATATAGACACAGTCTTAGTGAAGTCAATGCCGTTGTAGACGTGTAAAAAACGTAAAGGAGTAAAGAGAGACAATGTCAAGAATCTTGGTGAAGCAGCAAAACGCAGCTCGTGGGTAAAAGATACAAGGGTGGCAGCGACGCGTCATTAGGGAATTGGGGTAAGGAACACTGACAAGGTCACAGGTATGAATGATACAATAACTTACACGCTGAAAACGGAAAGAAAAGGTATGAAAAAAGTCGACGAGACGGTGGTCTAGAATATCGCCGAATGCAGAGTGTCGAGAGATAAAGACGGCTATCGAGAAAAGGGAGTAACGCGTCTCGACTGGCTTAGTCCAATTTTTCAACGTCCGTTTGAAGGAACCCAAGTCCCGTTGTAATTGCCACGGTCTCTGTCCCGATCACGGCTGCTCAAACCTCCACCATAGGGAGGTAATACTTCACGATCGCGAGTTGATGCCCCAGGATGCCACGGCTGGCCTCGCATTCCAGGACTGCTTGGTCCTCTGCCACGAGGTACTGGCGGCGGTCGACGGGAGTAATCTTCACTATACCTGCCGCCACCTTCGCGATATCCGTCCGGCAGAGCTTGAGAAGGACGGTCAAAACGACCATCGTGACTGTCTCGCCTCTGCGGAGCGTTGGTAGGACCCGATCCTTCAGAAAAACTCATACTCCGTTGGTACGGGAGATTGGGAGGTCCACTCTGCGGTCTGTCAGGTAGCCTCTGAGGATCTGTGCTCGACGGACGCATACCGCCATTGGTGCCGTTCAGTTGTGGAGTCGTAGGATTTGAGCGATTCGGGTTCACCCGAGGATCCGTCGTTGCCATACCAGTGGATGGAGCAGTACCATTCACATTCGGATTTGGAGGCGGCGGCATTGTACTCTGGCCTTGCGCATTCATGTTTAAGTTATGCATTTGCTGAGTGAGCTGTGGTGGGATCTGCATCGGCGGATGAGCCATTGCCTGACCCGTGTTGGGTTGTCCCACTGGAGGTGCAAACTGATGAGGTGGCCACATTTGCTGCGATTGCTGAGTTGATGGTCCACGGTTGGGATTGTTAATGATTTTTGATACTGTCTCCTGAAGAGAAGGATCCTGCTGGGAAGTTGTGCCAGAACCTTGTCCTGCAGTTGGAGGTGGTGTCAGCGCAGATGATGGTTGTCTGCCTGACATCGCCTTCGCCTTCGCCTGCCGTAACCCTGCAAATCTATCAGGCCTCCTAGCAGGTTGGAAATCGGGTACAGTCGTGGTCTCTGTTTTGACATTGATACGTGGTGATCCTTTTGGGGTGGGCATCGAGGCAGCAGATGCGCGAGGCATAGCAGGAGACGATCGAGGCACTGGCTTCGAGTTTGCTACCTTGGCAGCAGTTTTAGCCTTGGATTTCAATGGCCGCTCATCTTCGGAACCGTCGTCCTCATCAGAGTCTGGCGAGTTTCCCCTCTTGCGCTTCCCTTTTTCCATAGGTGGGCGGACGGGATTCGCTCTGCATTCCTTCAAGGCGTCCTTTTCTGATGAATCCAGCTTCTTGAAACCAGCTGCCCACTTGTCCTTCATGAAGCTCATCATCGTTTTGGTGATTTTGCTGTTTGCGCGGATGTCGGCATGTTTAGAACGAACATCCTTGCGCATCAACCGGATCCCCTCGACCAACTGAGCCAACGTACGTTCCCGGCAGTATTTGTCAACAAGTATAACGCTCATGACAAACTCAATTGGAGACACCTTTGCTGGCTTATGAAACACAGAATAATACTTTTTGGTTAGAACTAGTTGACGGAAGACAGCGAAGGCGTCCATGACACGTTCTTTGAATGCCTTCGTAGGAGGAGTCACTCGCTGCAGCCACCTCTCTATCGAGCCGGCGGTCGGCCAACCTACGTCCGGTTTCTCCATAAGATAAACACTAGAGGCGGCTGCTTGGAAGTCTCTACCCCGAGTCTTCGCCCATTCCAGTTCGTCGCTGATCCTATACTCTTCCATGACATTGAGCACGTCTCGAATGAGTTGTGTCCATGGTCCTGGAATGGCTTGGAGGCGTTCTACAAATGCTCTTAATATTCTGGCGTCTAGTCAGTTTCTATATGACCCACCTGCAGGTGTGAGTGCCACCCCAAGTTGGACCCTCTTTACATACAGTTAATGCTTTGCTTCTAAAGGTTACATGAGTAATATGATACTTACCTGGAATATCTCCCTCTCATTATCTTCATTGATATCACAATACTCTACACAAGCGATCTGCTTGCGCGAAAATTGCTTTCGATACTGCTCGGGTAACAGTCTACCTCCTTCATTTCCAGGCTGTAGTTTATACCACATTTTTAAATTGGTACGACTAACACGGGTAATTAGTTGAACCGCAACCGGAATTGCTTATATAATACGTACGAATCTTTGACTAGAAGTGGGAAAGTAAAGTGACAAATGTCAGCAGATAGAAGAAGAGAATGAGGAAGGCTTCACTAACAGGGTATCTGCAACGTAGTCAACGCTATTAGAGTTCGGACAACTTTCAGAACCTTTATTGACTTACCTGACCATCCATAAACCTGGAGCAAGGTGGAATCATCAAAGTCAGTCAGTTTGCCCTTCTTGGTATGAAAGGACACTCACCTTTGTATCGAAGTAAGCCTCTGTTTTCCGTCTATACATACTCTCCTTTCCTCCCCATCTTCGGTCTGAGAGAATGCTATGGATGGCCTTAGTCTGATACCTGGAAAACTCAATTTGCGAAGCGTACCGAATATAATAGGTGGGATATAGAAGTTCCTCAGAAGGGAATCAATGAGCCCAGATTGCTTGGTATCTGGCCAGACAACATCTGGAAAAAATGCGTCAGACGGGCGTCTATCTATGCTCAAGAAAGTCCTGTGGGCAGCTTTCTGTGGCATGGCAAATGCGGTTTCCGAAGAAGAAGTGTAATACGGAAAGTAACATGCGGGAAGAGATAAGAATGTCGATCTCAATAGAACGAAAATACTACATAAGCGCCGGCTTAATGTACTGAACGAATGGCAACGGTATATCACAAAACGAAAAGGGAGAGAGTGGTGTGGCAAAGCGGCATGTCGAAACCACGCACCTCGTTGGTACTCTGGGTCTAGGTCGATCTTGCTGCTCAGAATATCATCTGTATTGCGTTCATCACAAGCCATTTAGCATGCGTCTTCATTTGCAAGCATGCAGACGGCATACCATACAGCGACTGGGCGGAATATTGCGTCACCCTGGGTGCTTTAAGGACATGCTTCGGCTTCCATGTAGTCTTCACCTTCGCTTTCTTCGCCTTTTTGTTGGAGACATAGTCATCGTCATCGGACGATATGTCCGTCAAACTGCTGTCCTCTGATAACATTGCTCTGATGGGCGTCTATGGGGGTGGCGGAGAACTCGGTGGCAACGTGTTTGGTGGACTGCGCTTGGGAAGAGTCGTCTTCTGCAAAGTTGTCACCTGGTGCAAAGCACGATGACGGTTAGTATTTGTGACGGCGTGACCAAGGGCAAGCTACAAAGCTGCTACACGTTGGCGAGTGGTCGTCTCGTTTTGATCAAATCTACAATCAAGAGTCCTCATCACGGGCACCAAAATGAGTCTGGTCAAAGGAATTAATAATGATCCAAGCCTCTTCCTTCTTTCCGCTATTTATCTTCGGAAATTGCTTTAAAAGAGACGCCGCTCCGCCTGCGCGCTAATCGTGGGAACATAGCGGTTAACTTCAAATATTATGTAATACACGCGCCGTGTTCACGTTCGCGTTTGGAAACGCGTCGCAGTCAGCACCTCAACACGAACCACACAATGCGCATCGAGGAACTGGTTCTCGAAGGTAAACTCACGCGAAAATTTTGAGCTACGATCTAATTAGTGTGTGCAGGCTTTAAGTCGTATCCGGTACGAACGCAAATTACTGGATGGGACCCATCGTTCAACGCCATTACGGGTCTCAATGGCTCTGGCAAGTCCAATATCCTGGACGCGATTTGTTTCGTGTTGGGCATCACAAACATGTCATCTGTGTGTAGTGATCATATGTACGCGTTTGGATTTGTAGATTTGACCAAATTTTGTAGATGCGCGCGCAAAATCAACAAGACCTCATCTATAAACGCGGTCAGGCTGGCATAACAAAAGCTTCTGTCACGATCGTCTTTGATAACTCTGACCGCGATAAGAGCCCTATTGGGCTCGAGAACTGCAAGCAGATTACTGTGACGCGTCAAATTTCTCTACCGAATAACTCCAAATACCTGCTAAATGGGCACAAGTCGCAACAACACACTATCCAGACGCTCTTCCAGGGTGTACAACTTAATATCAATAACCCCAACTTCCTTATCATGCAAGGACGAATCACGAAGGTGCTTAATATGCGACCTCAAGAAATCCTCGGGATGGTCGAGGAGGCTGCTGGAACGCGGATGTTTGAGGAGCGAAAAGACAAGGCGAGGAAGACGATGGGCAAGAAAGAGAAACGCGTAGATGAGATTGCCGCGCTCCTTGCTGAGGAGATCATTCCCAAACTTGACACGCTGCGAGCCGAGAAGCGAGCATTTCTTCAATGGCAGAAAGCCTGTTCTGAGCTTGAACGGATTGGCAGGCTTCTCCGCGCTTGGGAGTGGACCGAAGGAAAGGAACGGATTTCACGAAAGGAGGCAGAAATTTCAAAGAAGGAGCAAGAGATGTCTCGTGTCAAGAAGGACAAAGATCGATTCTTCAAAGAGACACAGGCGGCGGAGAAAGATAGTGAAGAAGTGAAGAAGAAGCGGGACGAAGAGATGACGAAGGGAGGCAAGTTCAAGAAGAAGGAAGAAGAAGTGGCGGAGCTCGAGAAGTCTCTCGTGAAGATGAAGACGCAGTCGGAAATAAAGAAAGGGACTATCGATGAAGAAGAAAAGAAAGTAATAAGCCTGGTAGAGGAATTGAAGCAGGTTTGTAAGCTATTGCCCTTTTCGCCTACATATTTCGCTCACATTTTGCTTAAGCTTGAAGCTTCACTTGCGGCGAAACGGGCCAACGTTGAAGAGCTTTCGAAATCATACAACACAGTCAAGGAATCCCACACGAGCACGCAGACTACGTTGAATGCCAAAGAAGAGCTCCTTCAAAATCTGCTTACCGGCCTTTCATCTTCGAGTACCACCGGTGGTGGCTATATGGGCCAGCTGGCAGACGCGAAGGCCCGACTCGCTCAGGCATCTGCAGAGGAAGAACAAAGCCGAGTCAAGCTCGGTATGTCTCAAAAGGACCTGAAAACGCTCGAGAAACGGTGGAAGGAAGTCGAGAAAGAAGCTGGCGAAGGTCGACAGAAACTGCGTGAGGAGCAGACCGAAGTCGAGAAGTTGCGGAAGAAGGTCGAAGCAAGTGGGTGGAGCTCTGAAAAGGAGACCCAGAATGAGATGGCCCTGAGGGCTGCGAAGGCGGAGGTACGACAGTTAACAGAGGTATGTTTGGCAGGTATGTACGGTGGTGTCACCTTTACTAAGTACAAGCAGGAACGAGATGCGACACGCCAACGACTTTCAGCCTTGGACTTCAGTTACTCATCTCCTTATCCTAATTTCGATCGATCAAAGGTTAAAGGCCTCATCGCTTCGCTCATTACCCTCGATCCAACCGATTTCAACAAATCGACTGCACTCGAGATCACGGCTGGCGGGAAGCTGTATAACGTAGTCGTACAAGACGAGAAGATCGGGAAGGACCTTCTTCAAAATGGTAAACTCAAGAAGCGTGTCACAATCATTCCCCTGAATAAGATCAATGCCTTCAAGATGTCTGCGCAGGTCCGTGTTACGTACTTGAGACATTCACCGAGACTAACAGGATAGCTGCGCAGAAATTACAAGCTGCAACTCGTCTTGCACCCGGAAAAGTGCGTTTAGCCTTGTCATTGGTCGGCTATCCAGAAGATGTCTCGAACGCTATGGCATATGTCTTCGGTGATACGCTTGTTTGCGACGATGCCGCGTCTGCCAAGCTGGTTACGTTCTCCAAGGAAGTTGGCGGTGTCCGTTCTGTTACCCTCGATGGTGACGTATATGATCCTTCTGGCACGCTCAGCGGTGGTTCGGCACCGAACAGCAGCGGCATCCTCGTGAAAGTCCAGGAGCTCCAGCGGATAGAAAACAACCTAGAGGAAGCCGTTCGTCGGCTGCAAATTCTAGAAAAGGAGGCGGAAAGTAGCCGTGCCGGTCGTGAACAATGGAAACGGATGGCAAGCGAACTCGAGCTTAAAGAGCACGAGATGAGGCTTTTGGAGGAGCAAGTAGAGGGCAGCAATGCCGCACGAGTAAGCGGTCACCGAAGAATTTAGACCATAAATGGTTATTTACACAAATTCTTAGGTTGGCAGCGAAATTGAGGCTCTGAAGAAGTCGATCACGGAGCTGGAGCAAGCCGTCCAGTCTGCGAAGGCCCGACAAGCCGAAGCAAAATCTGAGTGCTCCAAGCTCGAGAAGGATATGGACGAGTTCAAAAACAACAAGGAAGGCAAGATCAACGAGCTCAAGGTTTGTTCCGTAGTCACCAATGTCTCTTTACTTTCTTTGACACAATCCACAGGCCGAAATTAGCAAACTGAAGTCTAGCCTTCAGAAGCAATCCGTCAAAGTAAAGACGGAACAGAAAGAGCTGCAGACTGCTACCCTTGAGCTTGGTACGCTATCGTGTCCTTATTTGTTTAAATGGAGCTAACTATCCCTCAGAACAAACGGAGGGCGATATTGAGACCGCAAAAGAAACAGTTTCTCAAGCTGAGGAGAACGTTGCTAGCCTTAAGAAAGAACTCGAAAAGCTTCTGAAAGAGCTCGACAAAAACGAGGTATGCAAATCCCCTTTTGATGCAACACACCGGCGTTCTGATCGTACCTTGTATAGCGAGCTCATGCAGAAGCACTCCGCAAGCTTCAAGAAGAACGGGCGACGCTAACGCGATTCGATAACGAGTTAAAAGAGCTTGAGGAGGTCATCAAGGACAAGAAGCAAGCGATCAATGATGCGGAGCTGCAGCTTAAGAAACTCGAACATGACTTGCAAGCGGTGGCAAAGGATAAGGTCACTGCAGTGAACTTTGTTTCTAACCTGGAAAAGATGCACGAGTGGATAGTTGAAGAGAATCAGTGAGTGATTTCGTTTACAATCTATTCGTTGATGGCTATGTTGGATTCTAATGATCATTAGGTTCTTCGGAAAGCCTGGCTCGGCGTACGACTTCAACGCGAATGACATGGGTCGGTTAAAAGAGAAGGCACGCGAACTTGAAGAGCAGCAAAAGGGAATGAAGAAGAAAGTAAACCCGAAGGTGCTGCATACAATTGATAGGTACATGCTGTTTCACATTTGCATGAGTTGTTTTCTAACCCGCGCACGGATGATTAGCGTCGAAAAGAGGGAAGCCGCGCTTAAGAAGATGATGGCGACCGTCCTGAAGGACAAAGAAAAGATCGAGGAGACCATCGCCGAGCTGGATCGATATAAGCGCGATGCTCTGCAGAAGACATGGGAGAAGGTCAACGGGTAAGTCTGATTTCAATCCATACGCGATTATTGTAAACCTTGGCCTGTGATATATAGTGACTTCGGCGGCATTTTCGCGGAACTCCTTCCAGGGAATTTTGCGAAACTTCAGCCACCCGAAGGTCAGGACCTGACGCAAGGGTTGGAAGTGAAGGTTCAACTGGGCTCTGTCTGGAAGCAAAGTTTGACGGAATTGAGTGGTGGTCAACGGTACGTTTTTTATTCTGTAATCCTCGGCTTGTTATCCCTGACCGCTTATATGCTACCTACAGATCACTCATTGCCCTGTCTCTCATCATGTCCCTTCTCCAATTCAAGCCAGCACCAATGTATATCCTCGATGAGATTGACGCAGCACTCGATCTCTCTCACACCCAGCACATTGGACAGCTCTTCCGCACGCGGTTCCGTGGTTCGCAATTCATTGTCGTCTCGCTCAAGGAAGGACTGTTCACGAATGCTAACGTGCTGTTCCGCACACGATTCCGAGATGGGACGAGTGTGGTCGAGAGGACTGCACAGCGTTCAACTAGCACCCTTTATTCAGATGCAAACAAGGAGAATGATGGTGACGGAAGCGGTAGGAGGAGGAAGGGGCGAACAGGTAAATAAGATGAAATTACCTAGAGGTCGTCGGGAGTTTCTATCAGTTATTTGCATTTGTTTTATAATATGTGCATTTGCTATCCATTGCTAGCTCTGTTGTATTACCACTGATTCATATACTCATAGACTTATAAGTCCGAAATTCGGAATCCGTAAACTGCTATATTAACGACGAGAGATCACTGAAATTAAATTATGACTGACGTATGGTAAACCCGATTGACATATCCAAGAAAGGGCAAGTGTCCGGGTTTCCCCGCTGGGATATGTTGCTATCCATGGCTTCTCTCTTCTGAATCTGATTTTCACCACATCGCAAGAAAACAAGTTCGAAGAGTAAAATATATAATAAAATGTCTTGTTCAGCTCAACGCGACTCGAGCTTTTCTGTATCGGCTCCCTGCACCTCCTTCAACATCTATTCATTCGCAGCAACCTGAGTAACTGCTTTTTGCCAACCAGTCTCTGGGTTCCTGAGCGTCAATGCATCATTTCGCCAACTGGTGCATCCTCCTTATATATATACCGCGGTCTATGTTGGAACGCTCTTCTCTCCTCTGTTTCTCATCACTTAAATGCTCCTCTGATGCCCGTCGTCGACGCTCATGCGCCTAACACTGCCCGTCATCCTCGTCTTGCTCGCGACCAGCAGCGCAGGAGTAACCAATGTTACAATAGACGACGAGTTCGGTGACCCGACTACGGGAGCTCACATAACATACTTTCCTTCAGCGTACTGGCAACAAGGAGACGAGTGCAAAACGTGCTCAGGCCCTGCAAATATCACTGATGACGTGTACAAGGGAACCTGGCATAATGCAACGTTTTATCCTTCAAATACGACCGTCCAAGGCAGTAACAAAGGTCAGATTATCGGTGCCTCAGTGAACTTTACAGGTGAGTATTCCGTAACTAAAGTTTTGGGCCTCGTGTTTGATAACAATATCGGATCCACAGGAATTGCTGTGTTCGTGAACTGCATACTAACACGATCAAACCATTCCCCCATTGGAAATACGGACCTAACATTCTACCTTGATGGCAAAGATGCGTTTACTTTCAGACAACAGCCGAATGGTGACGCTACGTATGATTTTAATCAGACGGTATACTCGGCGACGGGCCTTCGAAATGTCCAGCATAATATACGGCTTGAGACCGGGCATGCGGGGCAACAAGCGCTTGTTCTTCTCGACTCCATTATCTATACGTACGTATAGTTCTTCCTTTCATTTTGCTAATTCTTACTGTTTATAATAGATCTGCGAATGACTCGGTTAACGCCACCGCGGCTAACACCACTACAGTTAATACAACTACCAGTATTTCGACGACTACGAGTAGTGTAGCCGTCTCTTCGACTCTTCCTCCGACGTATCTTTCTCCACCACCTCCTGATACGTCTGTCAGTGGGGCTGATAGCAACGAGACGAACAAGAAGACGAATGTGGGCGCAATTGTCGGACCTGTCGTCGCAGGGGTAGTCGTTGGGATTGTTGCGGGTACCCTATTTTGTCTGAGAAGGAGACATGAACGGCAAACGAAATTGTATGAGCCCTCTCCTTTCGAGCAACCATCGGTCAGGCCCTATCTACAACATCCGATGGCGTTTATGGAAGGGGGGATGGACCCGACTATCTCGCCATATGACCTTCACTCCTCGCCAACATACGTCACACAAGCTCTCATTTCTTCCGCAGGTATACCAGAAAAGAAGCCCGCGGAAAAGGAGATGCTTGATCCTCCACGATACCGCCCTCGCCCTTATCCGATCATGCTACAAGAGCCAAAAGGAGCTAAAATTTCACCTGAAATGCTGAAATCAAGGTGGAGTGACTAACGGATAATCACCGTCGGCCTCCCGCTCTCCAAACTCGCGCTCGTTTGGACAAGCAATTAGTATATTGCAATAGTCCCTTCTCCTTCTATCTTCAAACTTCGCACTTTTGTTGTTGGCATGTTACTGGATCATTTGTACGTATTATAGACAAAATCAAAACAACCGTATTTGCATTACTGAGGGACTGTCTTAGTACGCTGTTCTAGAATCTAATCAGCTTGTAATAGCTTCGGACTTCTCTTGTATTCAAGTATCAAGCTGCTATTATCTTCACCAAACTTCGCAAATTCCCCAGAAGCCAAAGCAGTCACAATTCTACTCTCCTGAATGGCAGTAGAGTCACTTAGAGAACTTGGAGTGTTGTTCATTTATCTATCAGTGATGGCTTCTTGGAGCTGCTTATTGATGATGCAACTTTGCGTTGCATCCGTAATGTGTGATACATCTTGGCACGCATCATGAATATGACAACCGTTTCAGTTGACACAGTTCCATGCAGGGGATAATCAGAAGGCTAGTGACTCAATAAATGTGTTATAAGGCATCTCTATAGCGCCCTTTTTCACAGTACAGGTCTCAACTAAGAGCATACCTCACAAAGGCAATGTTTGATCAGTATGCGTCTTAAGGGAAAGGCAGATAATCACTTATATGGATTGAGAATACTAGTGTTCGAGAGTTGAAGAGAAGTTTGAACATAATATGAATTTGCGATGTTAGTTAGCAGTCCGAGTAGCAAAACGGGCAGACAATAAGAAAAGGAAGGTAACTTACATGTCCACCAAACTTACTTTCCAGAGTCCAGACAATCTATTATTTTGAAGCGGTAAAGATACCTGCTTACTTAAATTACACAACAAAAGACTTATTCATAGATTGATTTTAGAAGGTTTAAACATATTTTTACTGGGTTATTACTCTGCCTCTGCACTGAAGAAATTGTTATCAGTGGAGAAACCTTGTTGAGACAGATCCGGTGCTACTGGGCTGTGCCCACTTTCACATAACCAGCATTGCCTTTATCTAACTTGTCGTAGGTCCTACTGAGCAACGTTAAATAATATTACATATGATGTTAAGATGAGGACCAGCTTGTTCGGCGGTGGCGACATAGTAACTGGCATAAGGTATTCCGTATTTACGTTCCGTCCCGTCTTGTCCCTTGGAGGTTAACACTCCCCGTGGAATTTTGGACTGCGTCTCGAAAGCCGTGATCTTCATTTTCACAATAGATGTTTGATAGCATGTAGTATGCTTTACTGATGTCCAGTTGCGCATCGTTCTGCGCATTTGATTAATTATTTGATACCTCTGAGTGTCTAAGACTTTAAGTGTCAGGGATTAACGAACAAAGCGTGAGAAGTAATGGTCACCGGATCAGTTCGGTTATTCCCAAATAGGCAAGTAATTTCCCCGCTAGGCGATTTTGGGTTCTAAGGTCGAAGGATCATCGAATTCATTCGCTTGTGATGATCCTCCTTATATCCGCTCAGCAAACATGTTGGACGCTCTACTCTATTTCCCTCCCCTAGCGGTCACTTCTGATGCCTGCTATCGAGACTCATGCGCCTCGCATATCCCCTCACCTTCGCCCTAGTCGTGTCGAGCTGCGCGGGAGTAATCAATGTTACAATAGACGATGAGTTTGGTGATCCGATGACTGGAGAGCAAATCTCGTACTATCCTTCGACTTTTTGGCAGCAAGGAGCCGATTGTGGGGCATGTACAGCTCAGCCAACAAGTACTAAGGAAGTGTACATGGGAACGTGGCATGACACAATGTTTTATCCTGCAAGTGCAAATGTCCCAAATAGTAACCAGGGTCAAATTCTTGGTGCTTCAGTGAACTTCACGGGTGAGTAACCCTTAACTGGCCCCAAGGTTTTCGTGGTTGATGAAGTATCAAATGATAGGAACTGCTGTATTCGTAAAATGCATATTAACAGGATCCAGCCGACGTCCTAACGGCAACACGGATTTAACTTTCTACCTTGATAATGAAGAAACGTCTACCTTCAGACAAACGCCTAATGGCGACACCACCTATGAATATAATCAGACGGTGTTCTCGGCGACCGGACTTTCAGATGCCGAGCATAATATACGGCTGGAAACTGGGCATGCTGGGCAACAAGCGCTCGTTCTTCTTGACTCCATTATTTACACGTACGTATGTGTTCCTTCCTGATACTGATTATTTCTTACGTATTTGCATTAGATCTACGAATGATTCGATCAAAACGGTTAATACAGTTAATACCATTCCCACTCACCTGAGGGACATACTGTAAGGGGCCTAATTAGAGAGTGTACAAGACCCTTGTAGTCCCTCTAATTAGGTACCTTTTGAGCTTTTCTCCCTAACTGTACTTAATACTAGACTTAAATAGTGAAAAAAATTCTAAGTCAAAATAAAATAAAATAAAATAAGTATGCTGAGTGCCCTATATGGCAACTGTGCCCTCCCCACCTGCCACACCTTGAGCTCACTGTCTCATACAGTGAGCACACACTTTCCTCTGTATCTTACTCAATTCTTAACCAAATTTCTTCATTATTCCTTTAAAATTAATGTAAATTTAGTTGGAACTCATTCATAACACAAATGCAATGTTAAATGTATCAATTACTTGTGTATTTGTGTACTATTTGATAATAAAAAATACAACAGTTTCCTCTGACTAAGATTTATGATACTCTAAACTCTTAATACTGTAATAATAGTAGAGCTTATATATCTACAGTATATCCAAGAATTGAGTCTGTGTAATGTATACAAAGGAAGTTACACTATGCTTTATATACATAATTTTGTAGTCTCATATCTATGTAACCACAGAAGTTATTAATATAAGAGTGGCTTTTTTAAATAGGTGTAGATTAGTATTAAATTATTATAAGATATGAGAGGTTTAAAATAAGGAGGTAAATTGTTATTAAGAGTATAGTACAAATATTAGAGTCTATATATCTTTACTATATGTTAGTTGTTTTATGTAATACTAGGACGTATTGGAAGGTATCATACAGTAGTATAATTTCACAAAGTTATA